ACTGTTACTCCAGGAGCACAAGCACCTCAGGCTCTTCTCAACCTAGACCCTGGCCGGACAATTGTAGCTCCATTCTGACCACAGAGGCATTATTACATAGGAAGAGCTCTACCTTCAACCAAGGACAGGTCTGGTAAACCAGGCTAGGACCAAGCTGGAAGGAAAAGAATCCTCCCACTGCACCCACATTAATACATCAGGAATGTCTAACCGGTGCCCCCAACTGGGAATAGGAATTGGCATTCTGTTTCTGAAAACTGCAAAGAACACATAATACACTTAACAAAGGGACAAGAAGCCGTGGAAGTAGCGAATCACCATAGCAGTCACCTTTACTACCGTGATTCCCGAGGTCTTCTGGGTCCCGTGCCAAGCAGCAGTCCTACTGCATAATGAACACGGGGCTGCTCGCTTGGCACAGGCAACAATCACAGAACACTTTGTTTTATTCTCAACCGCTGCAAGATATATCTGATTGGATGAGGTAGAGAGGCGGGGCAGTGATGTCATGATCTCCACCTTGTACAATTAGAGAAAGACTTGCATTCATTATGAAAAATACAAGTACAGCACCCATGTCGAGCAGGAACCCCCTGTGTTCACTATGCAGAATAGCAGCCACTCAGCACAGGACCATAGTGATCGCTGCACTAGTAGTGGCTACAGTGCTTTCCCACTTCCACAGAGGTTCCTCAGATATGGAACATTGGTTTAAGCTGGGTCTGTGTAACTATGCAATAAAATCCATACATGGAGTTCAGCTTTAAAGAAAGGTAAACTGTGCCTTGTGTAATGATACAAACCACCACCCCTACGCATCAGGCACCAACCCACAGAGATTAGGATCAAGGGCTATGTTTGAGGCTTCGAGAAATTCTACAGTCTCTGGATGGCAATTTGGGATTTTTAGTAATGTCTACCTCTTCTGTTATAACTCTAAGTTTATCAATGGCAGGAGTTGTGATGCATGATAATATTTATATTTGGTATGCCTATACCTTCAATGAAACTATAAAGCATCTCTTTAGGGAATCTTGGTGTTTAACCAAGTAATTGTAAGCTTTTTCTTTGAACAGATTGTAAGGTTTGAGGGAATCACTCTTGAATCGGGTTTAAAATATTATAGTCTGTCATTTTGACTGAGGATATGATCCCAAACCAGGAGAGGTGATGAAGAGTTCAGGTTTGAAGCAAGGAGTTTAGGTGTCGAAATAGAGTGATACAATTGGTGGTACTCTTACTTATGAAGCATAGGGAAATGAGGAAAAAGAGGCTGGTGGACAGGTGGGTATAAATGCTTTTTAATTGCATGGAATCAGTTTTTTTTTCCCAAGTAATATTCCAGAACAGCACAGGGGATTGGTGGTGGGGCCTTGGTAATTAGAGTAAATTCATATTTGGATGACATACTATTTTTAGCATATTCAGCAGCTGTGCTTCAAGGCAACCTCCAAATGGACATGACCGAAATCAAGAGTTTTGGTTGGTTTATCATTCAAGAGAAGTCACATCTACATCCGTCCCAGAGAGTGACATTCTTGGGATACCATATAGATTCAGTGGCATGCTGAATTCTCCTTGTGGAACAGAAGATCCAGAAAATAAGTTGAGAGATTCTCGCCCTCTAGCTGCCTCAAGACACAACCTTAAGGGAAATTATAAGGGTTCTAGGGATTATGACTTCAATTCCAGCAGTGTTTTTTTGCACAATTTCACACAAGATCCCTCCAGAATTTTCTTCTACCTCGCTGGGATGGAGATCAGAGATTGTTGGATATGGCCACCAAACTGTTGCAAACAGTAAAATGATTGTTAATCGGGTGGTTGAGAAGAGAGAGCCTCAACCAGGGTTTACTGTGGCAACAACAGATGCCAGCACCTTTAGCTGGGGAGCCCAACTGCATCAGCTGGTGGCACAGGGGACATGGCCCCCTTCTTTGGCCAAAACTTCTTTAGGCACAAAAGATAGATAAGCATTAGAGGGATCTGACTAATACTTTAAGCCCCAACTCAAAGATCATCATGTTTTAATATTGTTGGACAATGTCACAGCAGAATCATAAATCAACCACCAAGGGGACACAAGGTCAGACAGGTCGATGGTACTAGCAGAAGGAATTCTGCTCAAAGATAAGCTGAACTGTTTGGCAGATGTTTTTTGAGCATACAGGAGCTCAAACAGTCAAAATGGTCCCTCAACCAAGAGACCTTCAATCTCATGGAAGCCAAATGGGGGGCTCCAGACTGATTTACTTTACTTCAAAACACAAAAGGAATTTCCAGAGGTTCTTTTTACTGGAGAAAAATTAAGTCAGTCAAGAATTGGATGACCAATGTGGGACCTCACACCCTGGCATGTGCTCCCCCCCCTTGCACCTTATTCCCAGGGTACTTCAGAAGATCATATCAGAAAAGGCTGAGGTCATTCTAATAGCTCTTTGCAGTCTAAGAAGGATGTGGTTTGTCCTTTTCCACAATTTGTCTGCACTACCCCTTAATAGCGATCTTTTTCATCAAGGGGCAGTGGAGCTCTCTCAGATCCAAAAGCTTTCGCTCACTGCAATGTATCTAAACCTAAGATTTAAAAAAAGAAAGCTGTCAGATAAAGTCATTCCTACCCCTTCGGGAAAAAGGAAGTGAGTCTTCAAATCCATAATCAGGAACCAGTCTCTTAGCACACAAAAAGTTTCCTACTTGGGACTTTACTACAGTATCACAAGGGGTCATCCGGGCCACTTTCGAACCCATTGGCCAATGTTCTGAAAAGACCTTATCGCTTAAGACAGTCCTTATGGTAGCCTTAGTCACATGGAAGATGGTCAGTACAGTTCATACACTTTCCATTATAGGCTCATACTGTGTCGTTTTGTAGGATAAATTGATTTTAAATCTTGATCCAGCCTTCTTACTAAAGGTTGTAACTTCTTTCTATAGGACTCAGGATTTGAGGATTCCATTGTCACGATCGCGACGTCAGACCCCAGACCTTCTTACCAAGCTCGTGACCGAAGGACTGGCCGATCCAAACCGCGATGTGATGTGCGTAACAATACCACGCCCAGCTGCACCATGCACAAAGATTTTCCAGCTAATGGACTACAATCTATGTACCTGCGACCTGAGCGGTTGTTACTGGGTCAGGCTAATTACGCAATTAACCCCTTTTACACTGCCACCACCTCCTTTTTGTACAGAGAAAGAGGAAACTTGCATTATCAGTTATAACTGTCAGGAATGGACTGGCCAACAATGGTGGGACTCACCTGCCTTATGGGCTGCAGTACCAGGGCTGGCCAGCGGGTGCTCCCAGCAATCAGAGACTCAACCTTGCAGCCAGCCAAACACCTGAAACTGCTTATACTGGTGTATTTAAGGGATGGCCAGACCTGCAGACTCTGCCTTGGTGTGTGTTTCTCCTGGGCCCTGTATCCTGTTCCTGCTCCCTGTTCCTGTTCCTGTCTGATTCGTTGCTGACCCTGCTCTGATCCCTGGCTTTGTCTGACCATTCTCCTGCTCCTGATCCCTGGCTTTGTCTGACCATTCTGCTCCTGATCCCTGGCTTTGTCTGACCATTCTCCTGCTCCTGATCCCTGGCTTTGTCTGACCATTCTCCTGCTCCTGATCCCTGTCTTTGTCTGACCATTCTCCTGCTTAACCCCATACGTTCTGACCTCCTGTTGATAATCCCGGCCTGCCCGACGACGCTTGCATTGTATGTACTGTTATCTGTGGGTGGTTTGGTTAGGTTAGTTTGCACTGTGTTATGTTTTAGTATTGCACTGCGTTTATGTATTGTTAGTGTTAATAAATTATATTTTTATAACATATCTGAAGCCAGCGTTTCCCTGCGTCAGTCACATACCTCTGGTCACACCCTGGAGCCCTGACATTACACCAAGGCCAATCCTGACCAGAAGTGGCTGCACAGGGAAGCCATCTTGGTTTGTTGATGGGAAGGATGGATCTTGATGAGGTTGTGTATTTATATCTGCTAGTGTTTGATGACAGAGAGTATGCTTATCAAACTCTGAAGGAGTATCCCCGGGATGAACTGCTAGAATGTATACGGCTCTCTCATGTTCTAGTAGATCAGGGCACAGAATTCTCTGAGGTGCAGCCATTGATTCAGATTTGTGCGGAGTTGGTTTCATCTGGTACCCCCGAATGCAGGGATGAATTTTTGCCGCCATTTAGTGCCGACCAGGTAGAGTCCCTGGTATGGTTATTAGAGGATGATGTGGATTGCTTCTTGGAGCATTATGCTGCATGTTCACCACAGATACTAAGAGATTGTATAAACGCAGTGCAGTCTTTGGTCAGACAGGCTTTGTGTAAGCTCAGCTTTGTTCAACCCATACTGCAGACGTGGACAGATTTGTTGCACCCAGCCTCAGTCAGCCTACAAAAACCCAGTCCTGCTTCTAATCTATTTCCTCAAAGCTCTATTCCTGCATTCCCAACAGCTCCTCCTGCCCTGCTATCTACCGCATGTCAGTACCCTGTTCCCACTCGCTGCACCTATCCTGCCTTTAACCCTGTAAAAAAGCCCTCTGTAGCAACTGCTCCCTCCTCTGTTCCGTCCTCCAGCTCTTCTCTGTCTCCAGCTGCTCCATTCGTTTGCAGACCTGCGTTTACTTGCAGTGCTCCAGTAGTTAAAACCAGAAAAAAGTGAAAATTCTTTCCAACCAATACCATCCTGCCAGTATCCAAACCGGGTGAGCCTGCCGTCTGAGAACCTGCCTTCCCGTGGTTCAGCCTGGTGCCTCGGCACCCGCACCCAGCCTGCTGTACTGCCTGAGGTCTGTACCCAGCCTGATGCCTGTACCCAGCCTGATGCCTGTACCCAGCCTGATGCCTCTACTCAGCCTGATGCCTCTCGCCTGATGCCTCTCGTCAGCCTGATGCCTCTCGTCAGCCTGATGCCTCTACTCAGCCTGATGCCTCTACCAGCATGCCTCTACCCAGCATGATGAACTGATCCAGCCTGATGATCCTATTAGGCCAGTTGACTCGATGCCCGCTGTTGATCCAGATGATCCGGTACCTGATCCGGTGCCCGCTTGTCATGCCAATTGACTCTGAGCCCGCTGTCGTGCCTGGTGACTCGGTGCCCACTGCCTTGCCAGATGACGCGTTGCCCGCTGGCGAGCCAAATGACCTGATGCCTGGTGACCCAGTGCCCGCTGTCATACCTGGTGACCCGATACCCGCTGTCGAGCCAGACAATCCGGTACCTGATGACCCGGTGCCCGCTGTCGTGCCAATTGACTCAGAGAGCCCACTGTCGTGCCTGGTGACGTGGTGCCCACTGCCTTGCCAGATGACGCAGTGCCCGCTGTCGAGCCAAATGACCTGATGCCTGGTGACCCGATGCCCGCTGTCCAGCCAGACGATCCAATGTCTGACCCAGTGCCCGCGGTCATGCCAGTTGACTCGGAGCCCACTGCCTTGCCAGATGACGCGGTGCCCGCTGTCGAGCCAAATGACCTGATGCCTGGTGACCCGATGCCCGCTGTCCAGCCAGACGATCCAATGTCTGACCCAGTGCCCGCGGTCATGCCAGTTGACTCGGAGCCCACTGCCTTGCCAGATGACGCGGTGCCCGCTGTCGAGCCAAATGACCTGATGCCTGGTGACCCGATGCCCGCTGTCCAGCCAGACGATCCAATGTCTGACCCAGTGCCCGCGGTCATGCCAGTTGACTCGGAGCCCACTGCCTTGCCAGATGACGCGGTGCCCGCTGTCGAGCCAAATGACCTGATGCCTGGTGACCCGATGCCCCTGTCCAGCCAGACGATCCAATGTCTGACCCAGTGCCCGCAGTCATGCCAGTTGACTCGGAGCCCACTGCCTTGCCAGATGACGCGGTGCCCGCTGTCGAGCCAAATGACCTGATGCCTGGTGACCCGATGCCCGCTGTCCAGCCAGACGATCCAATGTCTGACCCAGTGCCAGCGGTCATGCCAGTTGACTCGGAGCCCACTGTTGTGCCTGGTGACTTGGTGCCTGTCGCTCCGCCTGGGGGTCCGGCCCCGCCGCTCCGCCTGGGGGCCCGAGACCCGTCGCTCCGCCTGGGGGTCCGGCGCCCACCCGCCGCTCCGCCTGGGGGCCCGAGACCCGTCGCTCCGCCTGGGGGTCCGGCGCCCGCCGCTCTGCCTGGGGGCCCGAAGACCCGTCGCTCCGCCCTGGGGGTCCAGCGCCCGCCGCTCCGCCTGGGGGCCGAGACCCGTCGCTCCGCCTGGGGGTCCGGCGCCCGCCGCTCCGCCTGGGGGCCCAAGACCCGTCGCTCCGCCTGGGGGTCCGGCGCCCGCCGCTCCGCCTGGGGGCCCGATGCCTGTCGCCCCTCCTGGGGGCCCGGCACCCGCCGCTCCGCCTGGGGGCCCGGCGCCCGCCTCTCCGCCTGGGGGCCCGATGCCTGTCGCCCCTCCTGGGGGCCCGGCGCCCGCCGCTCCGCCTGGGGGCCCGATGCCTGTCGCCCCGCCTGGGGGCCCGATGCCTGTCGCCCGCCTGGGGGGCCCGGTGCCTGTCGCCCCGCCTGGGGCCCGGTGCCTGCTGCTCCGCCTGGTGGCCCGGTGCCTGCTGCTCCGCCTGGTGGCCCGCTGCCTGCTGCTGCCGCCTGGTGGCCCGCTGCCTGCTGCTCCGCCTGGTGGCCCGGTGCCTGCTGCTGCTCCGCCTGGTGGCCCGATGCCTGCCTGCTGCCGGAGTCCAGCCCGATGTGCCTCTGCCCGGAGTCCAGCCCGATGTGCTGCCCGGAGTCCAGCCCGATGTGCCTCTGCCCGGAGTCCAGCCCGATGTGCTTCTGCCCGGAGTCCAGCCCGATGTGCCTCTGCCCGGAGTCCAGCCCGATGTGCCTCTGCCCGGAGTCCAGCCCGATGTGCCTCTGCCCGGAGTCCAGCCCGATGTGCCTCTGCCCGGAGTCCAGCCCGATGTGCCTCTGCCCGGTGTGCCGCTGCCCGATGGGCCTCTGCCCGGAGTCCTGCCCGGTGTGCCGCTGCCCGGAGTCCTGCCCGGTTTGCCAGTCTTTGATATCCCGCCAGTTACCAGACCCGGGCGGTGGAACATTTTGCCCAGCTAGGACTGTTTGGAGCGTCCTGAGGCCGCTCCTTGAGGGGGGGGGGTACTGTCAGGAATGGACTGGCCAGCAATGGTGGGACTCACCTGCCTTATGGGCTGCAGTACCAGGGCTGGCCAGCGGGTGCTCCCAGCAATCAGAGACTCAACCTTGCAGCCAGCCAAACACCTGAAACTGCTTATACTGGTGTATTTAAGGGATGGCCAGACCTGCAGACTCTGCCTTGGTGTGTGTTTCTCCTGGGCCCTGTATCCTGTTCCTGCTCCCTGTTCCTGTTCCTGTCTGATTCGTTGCTGACCCTGCTCTGATCCCTGGCTTTGTCTGACCATTCTCCTGCTCCTGATCCCTGGCTTTGTCTGACCATTCTCCTGCTCCTGATCCCTGGCTTTGTCTGACCATTCTCCTGCTCCTGATCCCTGGCTTTGTCTGACCATTCTCCTGCTTAACCCCATACGTTCTGACCTCCTGTTGATAATCCCGGCCTGCCCGACGACGCTTGCATTGTATGTACTGTTTCTGTGGGTGGTTTGGTTAGGTTCGTTTGCACTGTGTTATGTTTTAGTATTGCACTGCGTTTATGTATTGTTAGTGTTAATAAATTATATTTATAACATATCTGAAGCCTGCGTTTCCCTGCGTCAGTCACATACCTCTGGTCACACCCTGGAGCCCTGACAATAACGCTATAATGATTGAAATAATCATCTGTATAAAACGGTCCGCAGGCCGGTTATACAGAGGTTTAAACCAACAGTAGCGTCTCTTCAAAAGGCAGGAATTCATAAATTGCAATTAAGGGCTATAGAAACAGTTCAACACTTTCAGAAAGGAAGATTTATTACTAAAAGGGTCAAACAGGTGCAATAAAAATATTTACAGAGAAGATGTATCTAAGATATATATATACATAGAAAACAGCACAGCAAAGAGATAACGGAGAAGTTAAAGGGTTAAGTTACTTGCCATTTAAGCCTTTGATGTAAGCAGATCCAAGTTTTTTAGAGCAGAATGGTGCTTTGATCTCCCGCTGTTACGATGGAAAAAATGGGAGATGTCTTTAATTCTCCTTACTTTGGCTGACAGCCTGTTTTAAAGTTTCCCGGCAGGGGGTGGTTCTGAAGTAACAAACCAATCCACTGTGGAGGGGTCGCCAGGCGGGACCCTAAACTGGAGCCAGCATCTTTTCAAAATTCATATTCTGTTCCATAATTTCCTATCTGCACAAGCTACAGTCCACCCGCGGGTATTTTATTATGCAGATAAGCTTGAGGATCATATAGATATGAATTATGAAATTGTACGTTACACGGTGTACGAGTTCTAAGTTTTGGCTCCCCTGATGGTCTGAGGTGGACAAGTGACCCATCAAAATGTTCATCTGCTCACTGGCCATCTGACGAGGTGCCCGGTTTTTATGTAAGTCTTCCATATTCCAAGATATGAGACATAGGGGAAAAACTGATTTTACCAGAAGTTATCTGATCCTGTCACCTATGCTGAGCTAGGTTTTATGAGGTTACAATTCTTTCAATTCCTGGGAGAGCTGCCTTAGCTCCTTACGAGGTGTGAAATTACACAGGTTCTTGGACAGAGAGACTCTGGCTCTCTGGGAAATGCTGCCCTTATCTTGCTTAGGTGAGAAAGGCTACAACTTCCACAGACCGCTCGGCACCAAAGTGGGGATGTTTTGGCCTGCCATTGACCCATAACCATTACACACACATCTGGCATTGTGCCTCTCCGGAAGGGAGGGGGGAAGGAGAAGGATGAGGGAGAAATGGATACTCTTAGCAAGATGGAGTCTGAAACCAAAATGGTTGAACCGCTTCCATCTCAGATGCACGCGTTTGCGACAGCCATCCTTTTGTGCCAATCCTCCCAATGACAAAGAAGCAGCATTCCACTGCTTGGATGTTAGGAAATTAATTCTCCAGTATGTACAGCTCATGAATACCTGGAGAAGATCAAACAACATATTTGTTGTATTCACAAGTTTGAAAAAGGGATGAATGGCTTCTAAAAGTACAATCACTAGATGGATTCAAATGGCCATTAGAGAAAACTACAAAGCATAACACCTAACCCCTTCTAAAGGTGTTAATGCATTTAATACCAGGGCTTTGGCCTCTTTTGACCAAAAAAGCTGGTGCATCAGCAGAACAAATATGCAAAGCAACAACCTGTATGCATTTACAAACTATTGTCTGTCAAGACCCAATCAAATTCCTCTCTAGCCAGGAACAGGCCTTTGACAAGAAGCTTCTACAGGCTATCATCCCACCCTAGTAGGTATTTTTTTGCTTGTCCCTCTCCTATACTGTCCTGAAAGCTGACTTGGGAAAACACATTATTTCCCTGGTAACTCCTTTTTCCAGGAGTCTTCTAGGACAGCAGACCATTTTAAAAATATGAAATATTTGGCTATAGCAAAACTTAGTTTGTTCACTGAGGGGCTGGACAGCAGTAGAATAATGAGTTTCTGCAGGCAAGAGTGAAGCATGGTGGAGCTAACGTGCAGGTTTCGGGCTGCTTTTATGGAAATGGAGTTGGAAATTTGGTCAGGATTAATGGTGTCCTCAATGCTGAAATATACAGGCAGATACTTATCCATCATGTCATACCATCATGGAGGCGTGTGATTGGCCCCAAATTTATTCTGTAGCAGAACAACAACCCCAAACATACAACCAATATCATTAAGAATTATCTTCAGTGACTACATGTATTGTTTCCACAAACGTCCCCTTTATGTTTCCGGGGCTGTGGCCTCACAGGTACTTTGATTCATATATTCTGGGATTGCCCGACCATATCTTTGATTTGGTGCAAGATATCTGAGGTGGCTACCTCACTGTCAGGTACCCCCCGGTATGATTGTCCATACAGACCTGTCTATTGGGCGCCCGTATCCCAGGGGTCTCTGATGCCAATCTGAGATTGATACATACTATATGTATTGCCACTTTATGGTCTATTGTCTTACATTGGAGGTCCAATGCTGTACCCTTAGCCTCCGTTTTACACAGAATTGATGCCGTAATGCTCATGGAATGCATTCATTATACCCTACTGGATAAGATGCACTTATATGATAAAAAAATGGGAGTCATGGAGAGATTGTAGACATTTATTGCATGATTAACAACATTCTCAGTGAAAGTTGACTGACATATACTGTTGACAGATTTATCACTCAGATTACCTTATCATTTACGAATTTCATGTACTCGTAATTTACTCTTTTCTATTTCTTCTCTTTTTTATGTTAATATACTTTTCTGTATTGTACTTTTCAAAAGTGCCTTGTTTTTGCTGAAAGTATCACTTGAAAATGTACTGTTGTTTTACAGTCTACTCATATACAATAAAACCGTTTGTAAACAAAAAAGAATTATCTTCAGTGTATAG